ACGTAAAAAATAAAGGCAGTACTTATTTTATTAACTTTTCATTATTTAAGCAATACAAATATGAAAGCAAGTCAAATCCTGGTATTGTTTCATAATTGATTATTATTATTTAAAATTGTCTTAAGCACAGTCATAAAATGTCGTAAACTAATCACAAAAGAACCGTATGAGCATCTTAAAAGACACTACTTATGATTACTAATCACGGACTAGGTATACGCGAGTGAGGCGCGCGCGCTGGCCCTGAACGTTACATAGACAAGAGCGCTTATTCGTTAAATTTAACACGCTCTCCTGCAAAAACTACTTGTCAGACGCAATTTTGCTAAAGGAAAAAATTGTTTGTTTTAGCATAAAGTATCATGTCCTGTATTCCGAATGCGGGAATTTCGGATCACCCAATATATCGTTTTTCGATATATATTTATATTAATATTAAATTTAAAGCATTAGATGTACCAATTAATTCGGTGCTTTTACAATTTGTGCCTTATAACTCCGTTTTAAAACTAAATAGTTTCCCACTATTTTGTGATTTGTAGTCTACGGCACATGGTGCTCGTTTTCGTACTGGATTTGAATGAAATCCAGTTACATATAGAAATGCTAACTAACTATTAACATTACTAACTATTCGAACTAAGTTCTAATTGGTGCATTTCTAATATGTTACCAAATCATACTAGCAGCATAAAAACAAGCATTGTATGTCGCTGGCTTTAATACCACTTTATTCTCAAAATATATAATTTGGCAGAGCGGACATAACTTCATAAAACAACAGTGGACATGATGGTGGTCGAAAGCAATACTTGAGGCACTGCATTCTTTTCGTATTTCAGTTAAAGAAAAATGCTATTAAAGCTACGGAGTTGATTTGTGCCGTTCTGCGTAAAGACGCTCTAACACATAAAATGTATAAAAAGTGCCAGTGGTACCAAAAGTTTTGGAATAGAGATTTTAGTTTTTCTGATCAACAAAATCAATCTGGGTTAATTACAAAAATTTAATGACGAGGAACTTGAGCAACTGTTGACTGAAAAGTACACTTTATATATAAATATATAAAGTGTTTGGTAACTCATATGACCATAGCTAGAGGCGTCAAACTAACTAAGATAAACAAAATAGTCAAATTTTATGACATTCGCGATAATTATCGAGTTATTAATTATAGAAATTTGATAAATGAATGCACGTCGAGATGATAATGGAGGAGCATTACAATCCCTTAGACCAGTGCTGGGAATTAAGTGAGCAGCGATTTCAGAGGCAACGTCCGCGCTTCCCCCACTACCTTTCGAAGCGCGGCGGCCGAGCCGCCGATCGCGCGTTGATGTTCTGCCTCAGGAACGGTCTCATATACGATATGAGATGAGATCGCACCCTCCGTCAAACCAAAATTAAAATATTTATCCTTAAAAAATAATTCTTACTCTCATTAATGATGAAATATTACGCTTTTATTTCTAATATAATAAATTCTCTTTAATAATAATATAGTGATGACAATAATTAAGAATATAATCATTAAAGTTTTGTTAATAGATTTCCACATCACCCATGAGGTACTATTGTTGATGTGTTTTTTTTTTTAAGAAAATCCAATTAATATTTTTATAAAAGTTGGCCATTTTGCGCTCTGTACTTATTCTTCCTCTTTCGTTTTTATATTTCTCACGATGTAGCATTTCGCTTTCCTATTGAGCCATATATTTCATTTTCATTAATTTTTAGTGGAGTAGGCCTACTGGGGAAACCACTTAAAAAAACGCATCAACAATAATACCTCATGGGTGATATGGAAATCTATTAGCAAAACTTTAATAATTATATTCTTAATTATTGTCATCACTATATTATTATTAAAGAGAATTTATTATATTAGAAATAAAAGTATAATATTTCATCATTAATGAGAATAAGAATTATTTTTTAAGGATAAATATTTTAATTTTAGTTTAACGGAGGGTGCGATCTCATGTTATATCTTATATGAGACCGTTCTTGAGGCAGAGCGTCTCACGCGCGATCGGCGGCTCGGCCGCCGTGCTTCGAGAGGTAGTGGGGGAAGCGCGGGCGTTGCCTTTGAAATCGGCTCGTGCTACTCACTTAATTCCCAGCACTGCCTTAGGCTATAACACAGTCTAAAGTCCTAAATAATCAGAGAAATGTAACCGGAGGTTCGTTTACTGATTGGCTGACCGCGATCCCAACTAAAACTAATGTTAGCCGCGCAGCTAATGTTTCCGAGTAAAAAAGATTAATATTTATAATATTATTAACAGAATGAGCTGGCTCCTAGACAATAAATAAATTTAATATTACTTTATCGTTGTAATAAAATATCATGTATCATCATTGTATTCATCATGTATAAAATATCATTGTATCATGTATCGATTTTATCGACATTTAATATTCCGAAACTTTAGAAATCTCTTATTTTACGTTTATTACAATGTTAGAACTAAAACAAAAACATTTCTGAATGTGTTTCAAATTGTGTCAGATACATGGAGATTACTTTATTTATAAGAGATCTTGCTGTTACAGGCCTAATATGTCGACTATGGGAATTATAGTGCCAAATAATATCATCGTAGTACACTGCCGCAGTCTCTTGAAACCGTTAAATTTTTGTTCACAAAGTTTTTTCCTATCTCTTATACTTTCAATGACACGTGATCCGAAAAAAAAAATACCGAATTTTTTCAACAGAGTGTTTCACATCTTAAAAGGCTAATTATAAAAAGTTTATTTATAAAAAGAAATCATATGCCTTATTTTGGTCTAAATTACTACATAGTTAAAGCTCATCAAAATCGGAGAAGAACACTTCTGTTTTCCTCCTATAAGCTTCCTATATGAGGATAACTACTGAGTTTTATCCCCTAAGTCTTTATGAACATCCCTCCTTCTAGGAAGCTGTAGTTCATGAAGATTTCTCCACGTAAAAAGAAAAAGAAAAAAAATGGTCATTGGAAAAACAACGCCTGCGTAAATATAGCTACAATCAAAATATGAGCTACTACTAATCAATTTTTTTAATACCACTTTATATAGTGCCCGCCAAAAATTCCGGGCCACCTAAATAACTTCCGAATGATTTAAGATATTGGATTGAAATTTATAGGGATACAATAGGATTACAAAGTCTATCATTTAAACATAAAAATACTCACCACCACATTACAGGAGGGGTGGAGGGATAGGGAGATCGGAAAATCTTAAACATGACATGTGAAGTTGAGTGAGAGCTCGTTTGAAAGAGCTTTTCAAGACGAGAACAACGCGGGGTCCTCGAGGTCTCTACGATTTTTTTCACGGAGTTATGATCATTTAAACATTTCCATTGAGATTTTGTGATAAAGAAGCTATGGCGAGATATTATATTTATAATATATTAATAATAATATGTATGTTATATTATATATTTTTAAATTAATTTGGATAGATGTTTTACATTAATTTGGCTCGTTACTAACGAAAATGTAAAAAACGGATACAATATGGTCTGAATTCATATATATTTATTTTGGCAATTGTAATGGCTATCACTATCACGCCGTAGCGCACAATATATTCCCAATAATAACTTTCATTCGTGCATATGCCATTGAAATTATAATTCCTCTTTATTAAGTAATTATGTATATCTCGATATTTCGTCACCTTTTTAAAGTAATCGTAATATGCATATACTCTAACAAGTATATACATATACGTCGAAATAACGACTGTAAAGAATATCGTGGTAAGCGAAATATGTATATTTGTTTTGAGAAAGATATGTTTTATGTTTTGTTGCGTATTTGTATTGGGCGTAATTATTGGATTATTCGATAGCAACAGATATCACGTAAAATATTCGAAGAATCCATAAATAGTAGACGCCGGCTTAAGTAGAATATAAATACGGTTTTTTAAAAGTTAAATTTATTCAACAAAGTAACCAATCGTGTCGCTTTTGACCAGAAGATATTTCAGACTGTTATTATTGTTCTTTGAACTATATGGCGATATATGGTGACGAATACCGATGTATATTCTTAAATAAAATCTTAAGTAATATTCTTAAGTAATATTCTTCTTAACTTACGTTACCTTAAGTAATATTCTTATATATACTTAACTTACCTTAAGTAATATTCTTCTTAACACTTTGACAGCCGGACTCACGTATATGTGGGTTCACTAAATCAGCGGTTATCGGCCGTACTCACGCATACGTGAGTTCATTGAGCCAACAGTTATCGACCAACTTTACATATACGTGAGTTGATATAGATTAAAAATTCAAAAATTTTATTTATAAACTTAAAGAAAATATTCTTAAAAATGTGTGAAAGTGTTCCTTTACAGAAAAACACTCAAATATTGAGTATCTATACTCAATTGTTCGAATTTACTCTCAAATGTGAGTATACGTACTCAAATTTGACTGTATATACCCATATTTGAGAGTAAATTCGAATAATTGAGTGTAAATACTCAATATTTGAATATTTTTCAATATTTGATAATTCCGTAAGGAACGACAAGATGTATGCTGATAACCTATCAAATGTTAGCGAGCGGTTATTAGATAACAGTGATGAAGAATGAGACAGTGGAAGTGAAATTATAATCAGAAAGATGACAAATCTACTACTGAAATAATTATGTCTTTTTACTTACTAAATGCTAATTATGTCTGAATTTACAACATGTCGATAGCATTCAATTTGTAACAAAGCTTAAAAAAGGGGCCGGCGGCAGCCGGTAGTTTTCGACATTATACGTCGGCTGCAAGGGCAAAATTTTTCGTGAAACATGCGGCCGTCAAAGTGTTAAGTTTAACTTGCAACATAGGTGAAGGAATGTTTTGTGTATATATACAATAATCGATATCTAACTCACTCGTTTATTTGCTCACACACACACACACACACACACACACACACACACACACACACACACACACACACACACACTCTCTCTCTCTCTCTCTCTCTCTCTCTCTCTCTCTCTCTCTCTCTCTCTCCCCCCTCTTCCTTCTTCTCCATTTTTTCTCTAAAGAAGTTCGGCAAAATCTATACTCTTCGTTCGATTTTCAACTTGTTCCGCCCACCACTATTCTTTTGACATTTTCGCCCGCGGTCAGTGTAAACTTATTTCCAATAGCTTTACATGTCATGTGTGAGATATTATTGTTCATGTTATTTTTTTTTCACGCGTCGTACGTTACCGGTTTCTGGGCCGTGCGCGAGAGAAGATGGAAGAAGAATAGCGGTAGGTGAGATGGAAATCGAGCGAAGAGTGCACATTTTGTCGAGCTCTGCTCCAAAGGAAAAGAACTGGATCGATAAAACTGGCATAAAGTGGTATAACACTTCTAACATATTCACGTATGTCGTTAACGAGCGAAATCTCATTGCACTTAATGTTAATTTACATCACAGAAAACACATGTCTACTGGACATTCCTAGTTTGATATAAAAAAGTAAGGAAGATCTATAATATCTTTTGTCAGTACAACCATGTTCTAACAACTGCAACACGTGACAGTGACATCAAGCGATGAATACAAAACGTAACCAGGTTGTCATGTTTTTTTTTTCAAGTAAATTGTTCTACTACATAAAACGGTTCCTAGCTAAAAAGTTTCCTAGCGAATAACTTCAATATCAATATCGCCATAAAAAACATCTTGTTTGCCGACCTTGTCGCAATAGCGTCCTTATCTCAGAGTTCTTTCTGGGAGAAAATACCAATTTAAACTATATGCGTCACTCCAGCAGCCTGCGTGTTTACACCGTTCCTGCCTTCCACATCTGTGGATTCAATTTGTTCTTTGAGTAATTCGAGTTCTCGTATGCCGGACACCGTAACTTCGTACTTATGCGCTACGAGACTTCGATAGAAGTGTATTGCGAACGCGAGGAAGATTATCAACACTGGTATTAGTAATATACAAGCCGACCAGGCAGCCGCTTGCGAGAAGTCGTAAAACTTCACCCAACAGAGAATTGCAATCTCCAGCAGAAACAGCAATAGTCCCAACAACGTGGAGGAGGCCCATGCTACTTCAATGTACCAATGTAGACGCTCGTGCGGCGACTCATGCACGAGGCTTATGCTGTGTAAATTACAGACAGCTTCTATGTTAGGTAGAATGCATGTGGATATCATTAGTGCCAACATGTGAACAGCTACCAGCAAGGTCGTGCATACGGCAAAGGCAATTAACATCTCCCCGGGAACCTTCGTATCAGAGTTCAATTGAACCTCCACCATGGCGACCTGTCGACAAATATAATTAATGTCTTCAGACTCCATATTTTTCGTCTATTATTCATACACATATATCGTCTTATTCGTTAATTTGTGTCATTCATCATGTAATATTAAGAAAGATTAAAATCGAATTGTTAACTTATATAGGATGTATAAAAAATATCGGGACGGTGAAATATCACAAAAACTAAGCATTTAAAAAAAAAGTTTCAAATAAAAATTGTAAGGTTTCAAAAGATCTATTTACTGACATTATGAGTTTGACCTTAAGTGACGTCACCAAGGTCAGGACAAGGTCACTTTGAATTTTTTAAATGGAACCCTCTATTTTTTATTGCATATTCTTGTAACCCTTCTTCAGACCTTTTCAAAGCACTATAATTTTTTCCACTTTGAGTAAGTCGTTTCGAATGTTACGTCCTGCGGACTCCGCGCACTCTAGACTTCTTTTATAAATAAGGAAAGTTGTATTTATTATTACTTATTATATGGCCGGATGCGCTCAGGCATGTTATCACACGACGCGATGGTCCTGGAATCTTTGAAAGTTTCGATGCTCCGGAAATATTAACAATCTTTGAATCAACTTCGATCTTGTTTCCCACGCGCTTAGTCAACGTTAACAATATCGCGACATCTTTCTTAAAAATATCGATATTTCCTTCTTAAAATTGCTGCCGCGTTTTTTTTTTGTAAGAACAAAGAGACTCTCGAAATCTTCTTATTGCCGTACGCATCCTATCTCCTACAACATTATCTTAAAGACACTGCCACGCACTCTTGACCCCCACTTCTAAAAAACATTCGAAGCACATTCTTATGACCATATTTGGGCATAAAAATTAGATTTCCGAAGCAATTCCTCAAAACTCCATTCTCTCAACCGAGCTGATGTTTTGAGAAAAACCAAAAGGCCATACACTTTTCGTCAGACCAGTAGCCAGGACAGAAGCTCCTCTTCAACACCCTTTCAGGGTTTTCTAACAATCTAGCCTACTAGTGGCTTAGACAGATTAGTGTTCCTCCAGTCTTTAATTATTTTGTGCAACAATCTCGTGTATTTTTGGTCCATTGTGAGCAATCCAGCTAAAACCAGCTTCCGATTCTTGGCGCAGAACTTGGGTCATCCACCCTCACAGACCCGCAACAATTACTCTCTTCATTTTCGACAAATATTATAGAACCAGCAGTAAGTTATTTATACTTTCTTTTGCCTGATTGACCGCTTTCTCTTATTTTTTTCTTTTCTTCTCTCTCTTTTCTTTTCCTTTCTTTTTTCTAATCCCCTTGACATTCCTCCTTAATTATGAAATACGGTTTCAGTAGCCCAATCTTTTCGATCACAGTCGGACATAACGAACACGGAATTTTGCTCAGACCGCGATTGTTTATATATATATGTACATATTATAAAACCTTACGAATTTCAACGGACATACTTCATTGTGAACTTCCGCTTAGCTATCAATAAAACGAGCTATTTGTAATTATAAGGCAATCACATATTCCTACTAATTATTCAAAACAAAAATTTTCCCTTCTCTCAATTGTCGCTCACGGTCCCAGGTAAAGGGATTCAGTTCCTTGACCTAAATAAAGGACTACCGACGTACGTCCGCGCCAGATAAAGGGGTCATTCCGATTCTTAATCTGCACCGCAGACTTGCGAGTATGTCGGAGTTTATGAAAGCAAGCATCCAGTTACGTTCCTTCTCCAGGACGTAACACGAAGTTATCGAGCTTTTTATGATAAAATATCCAGTCAACCAAGGCAAGATCAAAGAAGTATCCAGCCAACCAAGGCAAGATACTTACAAAAACGTTTGAGAATGCTAATCTCTAAAAGAAAACATAAAGTCTAACGAATAAACTAGGAAACAAAAAAATTTATCCAATAAACAAAAATTTGTATTAATTAGATAACAAAATCGATAATTCAATTAAAGAAAAAAAAATCAGCAAGAAAAATCATTTCCTTTTCATATGAAACAACGCGTATCATGTACAAATAATGTGTTCTACTTCAAGTCAAATTCATTGTAATTGATTTGAAATGATTCAAAGATGAATTTTAGTGCTGTTATAAATTTAGTACGTTAGTATTATTTTAATATTATATATGTCTGAAATACAAGTCACGAAATTGCTCTAGCCGTTAGCTGGACATCTTATCATAAAAAGCTCGATAACTTCGAAACGGCTTACTCAAAGTGGAAAAAATTATAGTGCTTTGAAAAGGTCCGAAGAAGGGCTACAAGAATATACAATAAAAAATAGGGAGTCCCATTTACAAAATTCAAGGTGACCTTGTCCTGACCTTGGAGACATCACTCAAGGTTAAACTCATAATTTCAGTAAATAAATCTTTTAAAACCTTATAATTTTTATTTGAAACATTTTTTTTCTAAAATGCTTAGTTTTGTGATATTTCACCGTCCCGATACTTTTTATGCACCCTGTATATAATTACGTATAAAGAAATGACCAAATTTTATTTCCAACTTTATTAATAAAACTGCATGTAACTACAATTTGTGTCATTTTATGTTGATTAATAATCATTGAAGATATCTGTTTACATATGTGCGCATTAATTTGTAAATAATTTTGAGGAAATCGTATAATTGAATTTATCATAGTTGATAAGGATTAATCTCGTGTAAACCATGTTACCGACTATCGTCTCTTACCATAGCGAAACCGGAAAGTAGAGCTGACGTTTTACTCGATGCCTTGAGTTTCGCACGGCTTAATTGCAGTTTTCTCCAAGACAAATAACCTGGTGTGTGAAGGCCATCTCCCGATTGCGACATCGTTGACTGATGAACAGAATAAACGCAAATGCATACAGATAAGTTAATTTGGTCTAAAGCAGAAGATAATTGTATTAATAGGAAAAAGGGTCGACAAGAGTAATATTCTCAACTATTTGCGAGCTAAAAGAAGCTAAAAGGGAAGGCAACATTAATTATGACCGGGTAATAATCACTCCCTAAGACAAGCACGTAAGAAAGAGAGGCACATACCGGAGATTGATAGCAATGTTGGTGCCAATGGGAGAACTTGTCAAAAGTCCCGCGTATGACAAAAACCAATGGATGCTGAACGAAATAAATAAGGAGAATTAATAAAAACGTAAATGAAACATAAGTTAATGAAAACGTAAAAATAAATAAAAGGTATAATCTGCTCGCAAAAAAAAATCGACTAATAACAGTGCATCTTACAGGAAATCTAGTGTTACGTCCTGCAGATTTAACTAACAAAATTGTCTTTTCCTCTCGTGGATTTATATTCTTCTAATATAATTATAATAGGAATATATACATAAATAATATAAATTAAGAAACAGACTCATCTGGCGAACAGCCGTCGCGCCAAATGAAAGGCGATTCGGAAAAATTTCACAACAGGAAACAGTGCCCTGTTGTAAAAATCTACACGTCTTCGTTTAAAGTTTATATCTGGGTAGTGTTCGCCAAGTGTGTCCGTCGTCCTAGCTATAAAAATTTGAAACTCCGCGCTAACAAACCTTCAGTAAAACAAAGCAATTCAGAGCATTCTTGTTCTAAAACTTGAAACTTACATCTTCCCAATCCAAAACCATATACGCCCTATCAGTTAACCAACAAAGTTTACTTCACTGATAGTCGTAAAATCTGATCTCAGCCTTTGATTTACGGCATTTTGATTTTTCCAGCCGGCCACTTGTACATATTTCTCTATCTCAAGAATCCACCACCTCCACGCTTGTCGCGCCTAATCCATTCAGCCAATCATATCATATCCATCTAAAACTATGAGACACCCACGCTCCACCCTTTAGCCCTTCCATATTCATATCTCCAAAAACTAACCGTTTCCTCCCATGATGTCTTTTAACTTCATCCTTAATTTCTAATGGCTGAGACTTTTTCCCACTAAGACCAATTCACCCCTTCCTCAAAGGCCATCTCTCTACCCACCCTGATAGCTTCTGCCTCCGATTATCGGTATAAAACCGCGGTAATCCGCCTCCGCGACACTACTCTGAGAGACAGAAAAAAGTCAGACACACTCTCATTCAGCTATTCAGATTCTATAAGTCAGATTTGCAAAAACGCGTCCTCTTTCCTATTTTTGAAAAAGAAAAATTAAAATTTAGAATCAGTGCTATTGTGCCATAATCAGAAGGGACAATCAGAAGGGAGTCGCACAACCCATCCCAACCAACCGAGCAGGAGCCACCAATCAACCGGTTATTTTGTGCATTTCTCACATTCCAATAATCAACAGTAAGTTTCATTTTCTTTACTTCCACCTTCCCTACTACCATTTTGTTAATTCCATCCGCTATTACGGAATTCGGTTTTAGTGGGCCACTACTATCATTCACGTGTAACCATCCATGATAACGGTGGAGGCCAGCATACATGGACAGCAGTCCTTAAAGGATAGCAACCTTTGACTTTGAGAGATCACCAGCTTGTACCACTAGGTACAAGTAACAATGTCTCTCTCTGTAGTCGCCGTGCGCTTGGGATAGCACTAGAGATGTCGCTTCCGAACGACATTTCTTAACGTTATCTAGGGAGAGGAGAGTGACGTGAGCGTGGAGCGTCAGGTAGCTCAGTGGTTTAGAGCAGTCGCCCGGCAAACGAAAAGACCCGGGTTCGATTCCCGGTCTTGCGAATACCGCGCTCTCGATATTTTTCTCTCTTCGGAACGAAAATAAAATGCAGGTCCCGAACGCACGCGTCCCATCGCTACCTAGTACGCCCTCCTTCTTTCAAAATGCATTTTTCTATGAATTGAACTCATAACTAGAATCATAAATCACGAAGTCTAGTTATGAATTTCGCACTTATTTGTCCCGAAACTGTTGTAAAATTGACAAATAATGATAGTTCTTGTATTTTACATTTTTATACTAGGTGCGCAACTAAGTTTCCGGGTACTTTTGATCAATGAAAAATGGAAAATTTCAAGAGAAATACAAAAAATGGTTTATTCAAAGTATCGTCCCTCGCTAGCTACACATTTTTGCCATCTCTCTGGCAATACATGAATACCGCGACGATACAACGACGCGTCTTTGGACCGAAACCATTCATCCAATCAATTTTACAGTTTTCTTCGAAACTGGCCAAGTGTTGCCCAGCCAAGCCATGCGCCATCGACTGGAGCAAGTGATAATTGGAAGGGACCAGGTCTGGCGAATACAGCGGGTGCGGTAGCAGATCCCATTTCAACGTTTTGATGGTGTGCTGGACGATGGAAGTGCGATGGCACGGAGCGTTGTCTTGCTGCAATATCATTCGTTCGTGTCTCGTGTGCGATTCTGGTCGTTTTTTGAGCAATGCATGGTTCAAATTGATCAGTTGTTGTCGGTAGCGATGCCCATTGACAGTTTCGCCCGGTTTCAGCAACTCATAGTACATGATTCCTTTTTGGTCCTACCAAACGCAGAGCATTGTCTTCTTTTTGAAGTGATTTGGTCGTGCCGCCGATGTTGATGCTTCGCCAGGTGAAAACCACGATTTTTTGCATTTGGGATTCTCGAAATATATCCACTTCTCATCGCCAGTAACAATTCTATGCAGAACTCTTTCTTTCATGCTGCAAAAACAAAATTTCGGAAGTGGCTCTTCGATTTTCCATCTGTCTCTCAGTCAACTTATGCGGCATCCATTTTCCTTCCTTTTGCATTTTTCCCATGGCATGTAAACGTTTGGAAATACCTTAGCGAGTCATGTTTAATGCCACCGCAAGTTGTGTTTGCGTATTATCTTCATCCAATAACGCTTGCAGATCGGCGTCCTCAATTGTTTTTGGTCTTCCGGAGCACTCCTTGTCCTCACTGCTGAAATCGCCACTTCTGAAGCGTTTAAACCAATCTTCACAGGTAATTTTCGATGGTGCATGTTCGCCGTAGGCCTCCTCAAGCAAACGACTTGCTTCAGCTGCGCTTTTTTTCAAGTTAAAACAAAAAAGCAAAGCTTCCCGCAAATGCTGTTTATTTGGCACAAAACTCGACATCTTCGTTAGAAAAAATATTTTTGCATTGCGATATGTGTTGGTATTATGACTGGTTATTGTTAACAGATGTCCAAGCTATAAAAAACAACTTCAGACATATATGTCAACTACATGTGTCGTTCGCGCCATCCATGCGTGAAACCCGGAAACTTAGTTGCGCATATAGTATATGTTATATATCAGGTGTAAAAAGAAATCCATTATTTTTGCATGAAATTGAAGGCTTTAATTACCATAGTTAGAATGATCCGATTTAGGTCAAATATGCGCCGTTTTGTTCGATAATTTGTTGCCATTTTGAAGATAATTTCATTATGTCTCTCTCATAGAAGCCCTCGTCCCTATTGGCAAAAAATTGAGACAGTCGATTTTTACAAGCCTCTCTTGAAGCGAATTTTTTATCAGTAAAATTGTTCGCCATGGACAGGAACAAATGGTAATCACTTGGTGCCAGGTCCGGACTATAAGGTGGATGCATAAGAACCTCCCAACCAAGCTCCCGGAGCTTCTGGCGAGTCATTATTGATGTGTGTGGCCTGGCGTTGTCCTGATGGAACACAATTCCTTTCCTACTGGCCAAAGCTGGCCGCTTCTGGGCGATTGCTTCCTTCAGACGGTCCAATTGTTGACAGTACAGTTCCGAGTTAAGAGTTTTGCCGTAGGGGAGCAGCTCATAGTAGATAATTCCCTGCCAATCCCACCAAACACACAGCAAAACCTTCCTGGCCGTCAATCCTGGCTTGGCCACCGTTTCCGCCGGCTCATCGCGATTCGACCACGACTGTTTTCGCTTAATGTTGTCGTAAGTGATCCACTTTTCATCACCAGTGACCAACCGCTTCAGAAATGGGTCGATTTTGTTGCGATTCAGCAGCGATTCGCAGATGGAAATTCGGTCCATGAGGTTTTTTTACGTTAACTCGTGTGGCACCTATACATCGAGCTTCTTTTTGTATCCAGCCTTATTCAAATGGTTCCAAACGGTGTTTTGTACAATCTTTAGCTCTTGGGCAATCGAAACAGTGCTTACATGACGGTCGGACTCGACAATGTCCATGATTTTATCGATTTTTTCGACAATTGGCCTTCCAGTGCGTGGTGCATCTTTGACATCGAAATTACCGGAACGGAATCGACGAAACCAAAATTGCGCGTGATTGGCTGTTACAATATCAGGACCATAAACACTATTCACATTTTCAGCCGCCTGGCTTGCGTTTTCGCCTTTATCGAAGAAAAACTGTAAAATATAGCGTATTTTCTCTTTGCTAGTGTCCATCTTTGACGCGCGCTCAAACAAAACTGAGTCAACTAATCACAAAACTGTCAGAAAAGTTTTTTTAGTACGAAATCTCATCTTTCTAACGCCATCTAATGGAACCCGATCCGATTTATACAACGTGAGATACAGATAACTAAAGCCATCTATTGGAAAAATAATGGATTTCTTTTTACTACACCTGATATTATACAGGATGTCCCATTTTTATGTCCCACTCCAAATAACATTTTTATTTTTTATTGTAGAAAACAATGTTTCAGATAAAATTGTATGGTTTTGAGGAGGGCATAAGATGATGCCATTAGTTTGAATAGCTTCTTGAAGGTCACATGAAGGTCATCTTTAATTTCTTAAATGGAACTACCTACTTTTCATAAGATATTCTTCTAGCTTACATCGAGAGCTTTCCAAAACTCTATAATTAAGTACCTTTTCGTTAAATACTTTTTAAATTATAAAGCAAGATCGAAAGCACGATCCGGCCGGTCAAGGCAAGATCGGGGTACAATTATTGTAGGTATTCGAAAATACCGCCATTTACTTGGATACAAATATCCTACTTACGGCAAAAATAATCCCGCACTTTTTGAAGGACATTTGCGTTTATGTTCGTACATGTCTCTCGAATACGTTTCCTTCATGTTTTCCGCTGTTGTAGGCTCTTCCGCATAAACTTTTTCTTTTATGTATCCCCAAAAGTAAAAATCGAGAGGGGTTAAGTCACGTGATCTTGGAGGCCATTCGTGAGTCCGACTACCCATTCTAATCCATCTATTATTAAATCTATTATTTAAATAATTT